CCCAGCCTTGCCTGGCGACATCTCTCCCCAAACCAAAGCCACCCTTCTAACACACACACACACACACACACACACACACACACACACACACACACCAGTTCAAAACAGGGCTCCCCTTCATCCGAGGGGTTTCTCAAAGTTCTCTTCATTTCTTGGTATTTTCTCTGTATAATTCTTCCACTGTTGATCTTGGGAGAGGAGGCAGCAGGCACACGATTTCAATCAGGACCCAGGCTCAGCTATTTTGATGACTTGCTCTGTCCTAGACACTGTCCTAGGCATGTAACCCATAGTAAGTCAACACCTTTTTGCACCATCAAATGTCTCAAGAATTCTTTCTTGACCCTTGGGCTCAACGATCCCCTATCCCAACCAGCCAGGATCCAAGAATAATGGAAATTTAGAGTTGCCTCGACTCTCTAGCAGCCTCTTTGCTGCACTCCTGGCCCCTACTCTCTCTCTCCTCCAAATCACATAATCCTCGTGACCAATCTATGAGGTTATATTAGCAGCCCCATTTCACAGATAAGAAAACTGAGACATAAAGAAGTTCACTTGAGGGGCACCTGGGTGGCTCAGTCGTTTAGGTGTCTGACTCTTGATTTCATCTCAGGTCATGGTCTCAGGGTCGTGAGAGCGAGGCTCTGAGCTCAGCGGGTAGTTGTCTGCTCGAGATTCTTTCCCTCTACCCCCCCCCCCCGCAAGCTTTCTCTCTCTAAAATAAATAAATCTTAAAAAAAAAAGTTAACTAGCTTGCCTAACCCATTGAGTCAGGACTCTAACCTGGGCAGTCTGGCTCCTGAGTGGGCCCTCTTACCCCCTGCCTTGAGGCAGAGCCCAATTTACCCAGTGCCCTCTATGGGGACAGATCCGTGTTGGCCAGGGCGTTGCCCCATGATGTCTAGCTTATGAGGCACTGGCCAGAAGAGAGGAGGGAGGGTGACAAGGACGAGGCATTAAGAGCCAGGCCTGCTGTCAGCAGCATTTGATCCCAGGCAGGAGACTCTGATGGATCTCTTTCAGGATAGGACACAGGGTGTGCATGGTTAGAGGGGAAGGGAGAAGAGCGAGCGAGCGTGCGTAAGCCCAGCCCAGATGAAGGCTGATGTCAGTTCTCTTATGCGTCTATCCCCGGATTTGACATGGGCTGTAAATGGGTTGGTGTGAAATTCTGTCCTATGTTTTCCATCTACTGAGTTTGAAGTCCTTCCAGTGGGAGCATCTGAGTGGGCTGGAGCCACTCTGGCTCAGGAACCATTAGAGGCCTCAGGGGTGCTGGTTAAGCTTCCAGTACCCACTACTCTACTTGCCTCTTCACACTCTGCTTCTTCCGTCCTTCTCTCTTTTTTTCCTTTGCTCCGCTTGGTCAGCGTATGTTGGAGCGGGAAGACAACGTCATAGACCTGGCACCAGATACTCTAGAGGGACAAGAAGGTAAAAGTCAGTGACCATGAGGCAGAATGAGGGCTGCGAAAGTGAAACCTCTGGCTCCAGTTACTGGGCTTTTCTGGGCTGTGAGCATCGAGAGTCGTGGTAATAGCAAGGCCAGGGGCGGGTATCTTGACTCTTGAGGCATGGCTCTTTCTGGAAAACCACACTCCCCTCTAGTTGCTTCTAAAGTGCCAGACACCCTTTTAGCTGGTGTTGCTTAAAGAGAATCAGAAACTGATTTGAGGAGTGTCTCCTCCCCCACTGGGGTGCTTGTGGCCTAAGGTTTCAGGCAGGCTGGCTCCTGGTGTGAGTGTGGCTGACAGGCAGGCTGCCCAGCCCCAGGGACCTGCTACATGCTTCCGGAGCCACAAATATGTCACACTGTGGGTACCCAGTGGCTGCCCTCCCCCCTTCCGCCATTCCGCTCCACCTCTTCCTCATTCCTAAACCCACACCTCCCAATCCCAGGAGCTGCTGCCACCTTACCTGTCCCTTCCCCAGGAGGCCCCCTCTCCTGGAGTTCCTTCCAGGAAGTCTGAGAAACCCCAACACACATCTCACTTCATCTAGGAAAGCGAATTAAATTAACAGCTCTAAGTATTTCTAATGTGCCAGGGATGGTTTGTGGTGCTCTGCTTACGTCGTTTCATACAGATCTCACAACAACTTGAGAAGGAAATGTTTACTGTTGAAGGTCCTTAGGGTACTGGGCCCGAGATTAGGAAATGGCAAATCCAGGATTCGGCCCTATGCTCCTGTCTCTAAGGCCCACACCCTTTCATGTCTGCGGATGCTCAGCCAGCTCTCTAACCTCAGAGCTCTGTTTCCAAGAGGACTGGATATTTTGCTCCTCCTGAGAATTAAAACAAAGAAAGAAGGAAAAGGAAAAAAAGAGAAAGATAAGTGAAAGGAAACTCCTGACTGTCTTTTGAGGATCAAACTTCTTACTAGAATGGTTAAAATAACTTGTTTCTTAACTGGAAGGGGAAATGCGAGAGCATCTCATTCAGTGGTTATTTTTAGACTCTTAAACCATGGAATCATTTCTTAGACAATGATCGTGGGACCCCGGTGTAGAAAAACACAGGTGTGGTGCTGATTGAAATGGCAGGAGGAGCTCCCAACCTGGCCTCTCCACGTCCCTTGCAGTCGGAAACAAGTTAAGGGAGCCTTGGGTGTTTGTTGAACACTGTTTGAAAGCTCCTGATGATCTCTCATTTTAGAGATAAGCAAGCTGAGGCCCAGAGAGGGGGAGTGGCTCTCGAGGTCACGACTAGTGTCTGGATCTTCCAGCTTCCGGCTTGCAGCTTTCCACCAAACCCCGGTTTGTGTATCTTTGCAAACCCCTGCAGCACACCTAGTCCGGGAAGGGGATGCAGTGGGAGGACAGGAGGAAAGAGGTTGGGCTTCCTTTTTCCTTCTTCCTCACCACCTGCAACCTGAGCTCCCAACCCCTGGGGAATGAGGAAGTCAGGGAAGGGAAAGATAGGGAAAATGGAAAGGTGCAAACAGAGGCCCCTGGAAGCGGGTGACATGAAATCAGAAGGAAGAGAGAAGGTGAGGCAGAAGAGGGGTGGGGTGAGGTGAAAGGGCCAACAGCTTCTGTCCCAGCCAGGACCAGTACTGGCCTGGGTTTGGGTCTTACTCTTTCTAGTATCCCCTTGGGCAAGCCCTGGCTCCTTTTCCTGCCTCAGTTTCCTTTGAAGGCCTCTCTGCGTACCAGTGGTGAGAGCCCACCGAGGCTGTAGGAGCTGCAGGGCGGGGGCAGATCTCCACACACCGCTCAGGAGCCAGAATTAGCTGGCTCAGCTCTGCCTATGAATGGCTGAATGTCTCCAGGCCGCTTAAAAGTCCCTCTGGGCATTAGGTTCCTTGCCTACGAAAGCAGGTACGATGAGACCAACTCTAAGGGCCCTTTTGGCTCGGATAGATCTGGGAAATGGAGCCTGGGGAAGGAGCGGATGTGGGCCCCGGGCACCTGGAATCACACACAGGTGTATGTAGTGTAGCCATCTTGTTTCATAGGGAGGAGCCTCATAGGGAGGGTCCGCTCATAGGGAGGGTCCGCTCATAGGGAGGGTCCCTTCATAGGGAGGGTCCGCTCATAGGGAGGGTCCCTTCATAGGGAGGGTCTAGAGAGGCAGAGTGACTTCGGCTTCTCTCAGCATGGACTTTTATCCTTCGAACTGGAGAGCCTTAAAGTTCAGCTCAAAGCAATTCTGTGCAGTGGGTAAGCTTTTTTGTTGTTTTCTGAACATTTTATAGACTTTCAGCGGTTTTTACAAAAACAGTATATGCTCGTTATTAAAAATTTCCATTAATACAGGAAGTGAAAAAAGTACAAAATTATGAATTGCCGTCGTCCCCCCTTCCTCCCCGCCCCCAGGTTCCAGGGGTGTTTCTTCCTAACACATTAGTGTGTATTCGGCCTGACCTTTCGGATGAACACACAAACATATTATGTATGCACTGCCCCCCTCATCAATGGGATTATGATCTCAATGATTTGAGCATAAACTTTAGAATCAGACACACCTGGGTTCTGATCCAGCTCATAGCTAATTAGCTGAGTGACCTTGTTACCTGACCACTTTTAGTTTCAATCTCCCCAAGTGTAAAATGGGAGTAATAATGATAGCTACTTTATAGGATTGTGGTGAAGGCGTAATGAGATTTTATATCATGGCGCTTAACAGTGCCTGGTACACAGTAAGCATTACACGTACACACACACACACGTACACACACACACACAGTCCTGGGGCACAGAGTGAGTTAGAGGTATAGTGACAACAGGACCCAAGTTTTCTGACCTCCAATCACACTGACTCTTAGCCACACCTCCCTGCCTCTCACCCCAGCCCCCCAGGCACAAGTTCAGCGCTCAGGACTTGTTGAATGAATGATTGAGGTTGCTGGTGGTGGGGGTAAACCCAGGGATTCGAGGTCTGTGGAGTTCCTGGGATGCCCGCTCTGGAGGATGGAGGGCTTCACCCTGTGAATTGGGAGGGGGTGGGGACAGTGTGGGTTGGCTGGACCAGCTGTTGCTTCAGGGCTCCAGGCCCGAGAGCTGAGCCTCAGGGCAGAGCTGAGGCCCCAGAGTGGCTCTCAGCTTAAAGGAGCCAGGCTTAAAAGGAATGTGCAGTGGGCTGTCTCTGCTCGGGAGGGGCTAAAAAAAGCCTTACCCTCCCCTGGGCTTTGTGTGAGGGTTATCAACTGCTCTAGTCAGCTCATCTCTCTGGCTGGACTCTGGCATTTTTGAGAGGGTCTGTTTTCCTGGCCCCTCTGGGTTTCCACCCATTGGCAGGAAGGGGGCAGCCTGTCCCAGAGGTGGAGGCCAGGAGGAGTGTGAGGTGTGGAGGGAGGGGAGGCTCGTCGCCCCAAACCTGGTGACAATACACAGTTGTCATCTGTACCCTGCTGGTGTTTCTTCCTTTTATAGTCAGAGCAGTTGCTCTTGCTCTCACCCAGCCCCTCTGTGGGGGCTCCTGCCCAGGATAAAAGGGGAGGGAGGCGGCCCAGTCTCCTGTCTCATCTCCCAGGCGCCACATCTCTTGATTCCTTCCTAGCTTCCATCTCCGCCGGAGATCCCAACAAGACAACATGCCTCCCAAGAAGCCTGAGCCTAAGAAGGAAGCGGCCAAGGCTGCCCCAGGCCCTGCCCCGGCCTCAGCTCCTGAGCCCCCCAAGGAACCTGCCTTTGACCCCAAGAGCGTAAAGGTGAGTGAGGCTTAGCCACTGGGGTGGAGGTGGGGATGACATTCAGGATCCTGTCTGTCCTGGACCTTAGAGACCTATTTTCTGGAGGCTGGATGGGCTGAAGGCTGTGGTGGTCCATGCCCCACATGCTGGCGCCTGGGGTGGTGGAGCTGGCGTGGGGGCTGCTGAGGGGTATTTGGACTTGTAGGCCTTTCCCCTCAGGAACAGGTTTCTGCTCTGAGGAAACCCTGCTCTGTCATCCCAAATTTACCCAGCAGAGTCGGGAATGGCAGGGAGATACAACCAATGAACCATTCAGCCTTAAATTTTAAGGCACTGTGGGAGCCATCATAGTGAAGAGAAGGAGACTGACCCTTTCCTCAGAGGTAGTATGATATCTTTCTGGAGAAAAGACACATGATAACCACCAGTGCAACTTGGAGTAAGTGATGTAAGCAGTGAGGGAGCTGGGGGTCTGGAATAGGCTTTGTTCTCAAAGACCCTTTCAGTGGGCACGTGTTGGGGGCAGAGGGGCTCTAGGTAAGGTGAGAGGAGGCTGTTTCCCTCTCTTCTCCCCTACCAAAGTGGTTCCCTCCTTCTGTGGCCTCAGCCTGGGCCCCTGTCTGGGGTATGCAGTGGACAGGCCCATCCCAGGCTGAGACCTTCCCTCTAACCTGGTGAGGGAGTGGGGCCTGGTTCCCTCCCTGTCCGCCCTGCTCCCCTCACACTGGAAGGTTCTTCTCCCTGCAGCTGGTCCACCAGCCCTGCCTGCTGACTCAGTCACTTCAGGCCTCCCAGCTATCTGGCCCAGCTGCTGAAGGAATGGAACTGGGAGGGGCTGGGAAGGAGGGGTCAGAGGCCTCTGGAGAGTGAAGCAGTTCTAAGTCTTGGCACCAGAACCTAAGAGGTCAAGTGCTACTGGTATGAAGAGCTATTAATAACAGGTTGGGAGTGGTGGGCCCCTGGGAATAGCCACGAGGGCAGGGCTGGAGGTGGTGAAGAATCAGATCAAAATAGGAGCTCAGGACCAGGTTCTGTGACAAGAAGGTAGGGAAACTGAACCTCCGGGCTCCAATTTGGATGATCCTCCCTAGCCCTCTCAGGATTCCTCCCCCCGCACCTACAGCCCCAGGACTGCCGTTGTGCCGAGGACCCTGGGGTTGATCTATGGTAATCCCTGCAAGGGTCAGGGGTCAAGCATAATCGGCTTGGCCAAGAGACGGAGGCAGTTGCATGTCCCTGGGCTTTGTTACGGTACACGTGGAGGCGATCGTGTCAAGACCTTGAAAGTACCTGGGTCACGTGGAGGCGATCGTGTCAAGACCTTGAAAGTACCTGGGTCACGTGGAGGC